TCGCGCTAGAAGGGTGTTACGTGAGTTGTTCGCGCAGTTGTTCGAGGATTGAACAGCAAACGAGCGTGCAGAGAGTTATTTTTGCGAGGCGAGCTATTGCTGTCTACTAACGAGAGACGAAACGTGCGGGGAGAGCAATTTCGGGAATGATGTTAGACGGGCAGGTGATCCATCGCCCCTTTCACATCCTAGCGTCGTACCTTGGCTGATTAGGTCATTTCATTGGACAGCAAAAGGATTTATTGATAGATAAAGTAGCTGGGGAGTGAATGGTTTTTCAGTAGCAATTTATTTATTGAAATTGTCTTGCTCTTTGGCTAAAGAATTTAGAAGTTCCACAAATATAAATTAATTAACAAAGTTTAGAAGCTATATTTAATGTAATATAATTATTATATTAAATTATTATTTATATGATAATAATATTAATATTATATTATTATGAAAATATTTATATATTATATTTATATTTATTTATATATTATATAATATTAACATATTAAATATATAATAATTAATAATTTAATTTAATATAATATATAATATTATAATATAATTATATTAAAATTATATTAAAATTAATTATAATTATATAATATTATATAATAATTTAATTTAATATAATTAGCGAAAAAGAAGTTGTTTAAAATAAGTGCCGGTCAAGGAACTGTCCTTTGAAGTAAATTTCAAAATATTGGACAACAAAATTGGAGAATAATTCCCAGTGTAACAATACAATCTTAAGTCAAACACCGCATAAGTTTTCATTTTCGTGAAATTCGCACCCTCTGTGGAAATCGAAACGGGGAATGTGCTGAAGGCAACCTTTGTTCGCACGAGTATCTCGTTCCGCCTGATCTTAATTTTGCAAATTACACTCCTTCGGTTCTCCAAAGCGTGCAGCACGTCGACCGACGCTTTACGAAAGTTACGTTGGAAAGAGGAAAGCAGGTCGGTTGTCGAAGTTTCGAGAAACGTCGCGGCTTTGTTGCGATAACCTTTGCCTGCATGGAAACTAGCTGGTTGGCATCGGTCCCGCGCGACGATTCCATTGATGTAACTTCGCGCGAAGAAGTTGAGGCGCCTCTAACCTGCCCTCGACGAATCGTTGTCGGGTTTTAAGTAAAAGCCAACGCGAACAATAGAACCGCATTTGCGTTTCGGTAACATTGTTGTTACAGATACCTCGAGGTTGATACGACACAATTATAACAATCACCAAAAATGACACTGGAAGTACAAAAGCAGTGATGATTTATGATTTTTGTTTTAGAAATTTCGTAGGTATGTGAACAGTGCGTTTGAAATGATTTCTTTTTTTTTTTTTTGTAAAATGTAAATAAAAGTTTGTGCTCCAGTTTTTCACTCTAACGTTTATTTTCCAGTCGTTGGTAGTTCTAGCGTTAAAGGTGGAAAAATATATTCGATACGGAGTCGCTAAACGTAATTCGAGCAGCGTCGAAGACGAGCTTTATCGAAGGTAATCGACGAATTACCGTGAATCAATACAGTCTTCTCTCGGTACGTGTTCGAAGCTCCTTGGGTCATCGGCACGATCGATTGCATTCCGTCGGCCCATTTCCCGGCGAAATTGCTCGGAATTCATGGAGTCCAAGCATTGTCCGTGGCTCAGACAATACTCGAGATCTGGGGCAAGTTTAACGAGTGCCGCGAAAAAGCGAAGTTGCCCGTTTTCGTGGCGAAAGCCGGGTCGAGTAGCACTCGAGTCGTGTGGCTTTCTATCGCCAAGCCGACACGCGAGTTCACACGTGTTTGAACCTACTTAACGAGCGACTTGCGCCAACTGAAAAGACTCCAAGGTTTTCGAAGGTTTGTCCAAACCCTTTTCATAAATGACAACTTGGAAGATATTTTATACTAACAATAAGCGAGTCACAGACCCTTATTTAAATGCTACGTAAAAACCAACGTTATGAACGAAAATCTACAAGATAATAAATAATTTCTATCAAGAAATTCCTTCCAATCAAAAAGAAAGAATAATAATGGCTCTATTAAGAACACACTAAAATTTTCCATGAACATCCAATTAGAAAGAATGACCCTTCCTACTGATATCCTAATCCTATACAAATATCATAAATCTGTCACAGACCGACACACTCTATACGAATGCACAAACTTTGGGTAGAGAAGATTGTATAGGATTAATCTACTCTTACTTCCCAAAAGTATCCGAAGAAAACACGTCGACAATTGATGGACAAAATCTGTAAAATATAAGTATCATACAAGTGACTAATGATCACGATGCCGATGCAACTTTAAACCTACAGAAATGAAAAGATTTTATTTTTTTAAANAAAAAAAAAAAAAAAGAAAGAAAGAAATTTCTTTCAACGACTGCAATTCTACCGAATGATAGCGAGCGTGAATTGATCGTGATGGATCCCCATCGTGCCCGCCCATGCCCGTTTCCCGTTTTATTTAACATTCCGAACGGCACCATGCTCTCTCTGTTGGAATCTTTGCATCACAATTCCGAACGATATCGCGCAACCGCAGCCCATCGAGTGGACGACAGATCGGGGAATTCGAAATACGGCCTAACGAGGTACGAGCTCTCGCTTGCCTCAGGAAGAAGATAATCTCGCGAAGGTTAATCTCCAACGCGAGCGAAATTTGCATCGGGATCAATGACGAAATCATTCTCGACGAGTCTGCGATTCTGCCTTCCTGCAATTTCTGATCCTTCGTTTCAATGGGACTTTGACCTTGTGTTCGTGTAGAATGATCGTTGATTTCGTTGTTTCGTTAATTCTCGGCTAAATTTAGAGTTGGAGTATATTCCCACGGTTTTAACTAATTGAATATATATATATATGCATGTGTGCAAGAGGAATGGACACATTGTTTGTTTTTCTCTGACAGACGGACGTACACGTGTATCTCGAAATGTAATTAACTTCATTTCAAACCGCAAATTCATTGCGTTGTCTGATAGCTGAACCGAAACGGAACAGCAACTGTTTCGAAACGAAATAATCAAGCTCGAAAAACACTGTGCAAGCTTGTAAAAATTTGTCTGAAACGTAGAGAAGCCTTAAAACTGTGTCAGAATTAGTTTGCTAAACTTCACTGCTGACTTGAGAACATCAAGTCGTCTTTTGTCGAAAAAGATAAGAATCCTTTTGCCTGAAAGATGGCAGAGAAGAAAGAAAATGCACGATCGAAGTGAAACGATCAAAGAGGAATAATTTCGTCATATTTTTCTCTGCCATCTCCGAAAAATGGAAAAACACTGTGTAAAGCTCGTCAAAAATTATCCGACACGTACGATGAAGAAGCTTTAAAACTGTGTCAGAATCGACTTGCTAAATTTCACTGTTCACTCTCAGAATATCAAATCGTTCTTGGAATTGTTTTTTTTTTTTTTTTTTTTTTTT